AAGGCAGCCGGCAAACTGTTTGAGGCCGCGCACAAGGCGGACGCCCTAGACTCACCGATTTATCTCTCAAACTTGGCATTGGTGCAGCTAAAACTGCAGGAGTCAGTGTTCCACTCGCCCTGCCGTTCGGACGCTTGAATTTGATACATCCCTTAGCTTTCTGCAGGCAGAGGTTAGCGCGACTGTGGCGCTTATGCGAGATCCTCGGTTCAGCAAAGCCAGATACCGTCGTGCTCTTGCACGCCAGAAGCAAGGGCGACTTATGGACTCCCTAGTTGACTTGGCCAGCGTGCTGACCGCGGAACCAATGGACAAAGCTGCGGCGGCTGCCTTTGCAATGATTCAGCGCGAGCACGAGGCCTCGGGACCTGCTCGTCGTTACCTTTCTCCCATGTCCATCCTAATGGCGGACTGTCCGTCAGCGTATGGATCAGCAGTCGTCGCGCCTCGCCCGGTCCGCAATGATTCGCCTGGTGGCGGAATCGTGATTCCGAATACCAGCGACCGCATACCGAAAGATCTCAGGACTGCGACCTGTGCGACGTGCAAGATCTCCAGAAGTTCGCGCGAGATTAAGACTTGTCGGGGGGTCCGTGACCGTCGCTCATATCTCCCTCTGACGCTCCTAACCTCGTGATTGATCCAGTGCGAGGCCGCTAGGTATTGCAGCGCAGCCTGTCAGCGGAAACATTGGTGAGTGGAGCTCCATGGGTGAAACGATAGCGTGACCTTCTATCTAACGTGATAGGCCGATCCACAAAAAAGAATGTGTTCGATATGAAGACGATAATGTTCTCGCCCTGCGCCTCTGCCAAAAACTTTTTGACCACAAATTTTTGGAGATGAATCTCGTCAATTACGCCATGAGATCTATCGGCGCGCTGCATCACTCCCCTCCCCCATATCTCACAGTTCTTTTGCTGTTCGTCAAGATGGTCCCATTTGAAACCAGTCTGCCAGGAGGAAAACGTGTCTCCATCACCAACATCGTCACCGCTCCGCTCGCTATTCTTGAAAAAGATATGAGGGACTCCTACGTAAAACAGCTGCAGCTGACGCGGGATATTTGCAACATGCCCGACGCGCCGGGTGTAGCCATGCTGATAACGCCTTATCTCAGGGAAGGGCACGAGGCAGACAGGTCCAGAACGGTTATCTTTATGCACCGCGTTGTTCCGGAGATCGTGGCGATGGTCAACCACTGGCAATCCGTTGTGCCAATCGGCCTTCATAGCCATTCGTTTGGAACTGCGCGGAATATGACGGCGGACTTGGATGAGCTTTACTGGTGCGCATACCGTGGCGATTCCTCTATCGGGCTCAATTTGTACAGGATTCTCGAGGACGAGCTCGCAAATGATGTTGATAACTACTATGGCTTGCAACGCTGAGTTTCAAAAAATTCATGCATCGCTCTCTCATTTTTTCTTGCCAAGCTCCATATCCTTAAGCCAGCATTCGTTTTTTTGCCTGCCTTGTACCACCTCCCAGCATTTGGGATCTTGACGTCTTGAATCATCGAATCTGAGGAATTACTCAGGTAACAGCCTTCCACGCCTCAAATCAAATGCGTCGTCCCTGACTGGTATCCTTCTTGGTTAGCTTGACTAGATACTTGCACTGCCCACTTGCATCACGAAATTCACCCCATATGTCTTGCGTGTAGATGTAAACTATGAATTCACGATTTTGAGCCCGAGTTGGCGCAGCCAGTGCTAACTTTGCTGACAGCAATTTGAGATGGAGAGTAAATGCTATTCAAAATTATAGGCAAAGCATGGGGTCGGTCGATTATGCTAGAGAAGCGGTAGAGGAACATATTCAGAACTTCCACAGCTCCTGATTGAATTGTACTGCCAGATCCACAATATGTATGACCTTGACGGAAGGAGCCTTGAAAAATGGTGGCCATGTTCAAGACCGGTACCTTTACTATGTCGTAGAATTCTCGGGTATTTTTCCTTTTTTACAACCTCGCATCACTTAGCACTCGTGAGGTTCGACCGAAACATACCAATTTTGAATTTCCATTCGACCTTCGAAGCAGCGCAGAATAATCGCACGATAGACGCCGAGACACGAGAAGAAAAAAAGCCCAGGCGTGGCGTGAGCGAGAGAAAAGGTTATTCACAAACCACCCATGGCCCGAGCAGGATTTTGGAGGAAACCCAAGGGGAACTCGGAGGGCTGATGTTAAAGAAGAATACATTCTCAAAGGACTGGACGCAGAGGTGTTCTCGGAATAAGTAACCAAAGGTATAGTTCAATGGTTGTTGGTAAGCGAGGATGACCCGGCCAAAAAGCAAAAGTCAGGGTAGAATCGGACCCGGAATTCCTCCTTTGAATGTGTAACACGGCAGATGCTACATTCCATTGCTTTCGACGGGCTTCTTGAAGCCGATTTTTGAACGAAACGTACAATGGATTGAAATGCTTGTATTCGTCAGAGAACTAGCGCCTACTCAAGCATACGAAATAGCCGTCAACTTCCCCAAATCATCAACGAACAAGACCAAACCCAGAGATTCATCAAGCGCCATCTCATTGATATAAAGCGGGGACACATCTCCAATATCCAATTTCCGGAACCTCGTATGCGGAACTGGACCCGGGGTGAAGTGCACAAGTCCAAGATATCCATCTCCCTTTCCCAGGTACTTCTCTTCGTCGTTCTGTCCCCTGTAAACGAGAATGAGCACATATGTTCCGGAGATGCCCACTGCGATTCGGCGGATGCGGTTCGTGTGTTCGTAGAAATGCGCCCGACCGACGTCGAGCTGTCCGTTGCCAGTGTGTCCCGGCCAAAAGTGTATTACAGATCTGTGTCGGCCTTGCCAGACAAAGGCGCGTAATGTCACTGCGAAGACACCATAATCGGGCGGGAACACATGTGCGTGGCCCAATGACATGCTGCGGATTTTTCCTACGAGTTCTCTTTGACTGGATCCAAAGGAGTACGGGATTGACAACTGGGTCGTCGTGGAGGATAGAGGATGGCGATGGAGAGCGTCGAAGCGAGGAGAGAACGGAAAGATCTGCAATTCGGCCTCCCGAGACAGGTCGCCGTTGTAAAAGCCGTATAATCTTCGCCCAAATGGGAAATAATTCCTGGCGTACGCGATCTGTAGGTTATAGGTCTCAGCATAAGCGGAAGACGGGGAAGGGTTGCCCGAACCGGTGGAGGTGAGCCTAGCGGCTGGTCCCGTACTTCAATGCTCGCGTCCATACACCAGGTAATAATGGACGAGTTCGAGCAGAATCCTAAAGTGCGAGGGTTTACGAAGAACCTACTCTCACGGAGGTAATCGTTCGTCGCCGGGGAGATTACGTGGGAAATTGAAATGTTTAAGCAATCCGCATAATCGATGTTGATTGCCACGAGATTTCGAACACACATTCTGGATGTGCCCGACTTCAGTCAGGGCATTGTTAATATGTTACGGCACATACCCGATACAAGCTCCAATCAAAGCCTTCCCTTTGATTTCCATACATGGAACTTCCTTCGAAAGGTGGAGGTCGGGCATGTCTAAGTACGCGACGCATTCCGAGGTGACAATGTCCCAGCAAGCCATGCCGCTGGTATTGCTAGAAACAGCGAGGTTCGTCCCTGGAATGCAGACAAAAGTGGTCCAAGTCTCCACAACATTAAAATCTAAAGTGCGGACGCGCAGAGGACGTGGGTGATCAGAAGTGAAGTTGTCTATCAGCCGATGAGCATGTCGCAGAGTTTCCTGCAGCTGGCGCAGAGACAACTGGTACAAGGATCCGGTGCCTTGTACCAGAGGCAGCGGGAGGTTGTGTACCTCCCGGACTCGGATAAGCGCATGCAGCCACAGAGTCCTCTGTAACTGGAGCTTGCGACTGATACGGCAGATCTGTTTGGGTGTGAGACCATCTTCGAGCACAAGAATCACGACGCACTGAAAGGAAATTGAGAAGCTCGGCAGGGTCCAATTGCTTCGCGATTTCCAAAAGAACATCTGCAGGGAATTCGGTGAAAAGGGACATGGTGGTAAGGGGAAACAAGACAGACGACGAGGATCGGTGGCAGTGCCTGCGTTCGGGTTTGGCGGGGTGACGTCACTTAAGGTCTGCTGCACCCGCCCGGCGCCAAGCCACCGCCCAGAACGCCACCGCAATGTACGGTTCGCTTCAAGTCACAGCGGGGATAAACACAAGGTGAAAATTACCCCAAGCTTATCTAGAGTAAAATTTAAATGAAGAAAACGAGGGTGGAACCATCAAATCTCTTCTCCCCTGTGCCAGAGGAAGTGCGCGCGATACCATTCGCCACCGGGTCATATTCTTCATGAAACACAGTCTTTAGATCTAGAGTTGTTCAATTCAACTCAAGAGAAACGTACCTTGACAGATTTATCTGTATTATGGCGCGCAGAAGGATTTGTTGAGGGGAGGAAAACAGGACCAGAGATAAATCCGAGCAAACTGCGGCACCGCAACTCAGCTTGAAGTCCATCAAATCTCTCGCTTCGACTCTTACGTAGAGTGGGAGCAACCAAGACCATTGGCCAGCGGGTCTTATCCCCATCCTGTACATCCTTCGTTTAGGATTTTTGAGCGTAAATTCGACGAAGGATACCTTCAGTTATTGGCCTGCACATGCAAATGAATACGCTGCGTGCTGCCAAGGCATAGCAAATACATCAACTCACCAGATGGGAAAACGCAACAGGGCTCAAAAAGATGCTCCCTCTTATAACCCAGCCTGGAGTCGAACCAGGGTCTCCCGCTTCAAGGTCATCACAACGGAATACCTGAGACAGACGCGAAAACAATTTCCACCGGGTCGTACGCTCTCCCTGTAGACTCTTTATTTCGTTCGAGGGTGAATGTCCTGCACTGCAGGATTATAGGCATCAGCATGGAGTGAGCAGCCTGCCAGGACCCTATAAAATAAATCAATTCACCACCAAAATAGAAGCGAGGAGGGCTTACATTAACGCGCCAGGACTAATACTAAAAGAAAACGATCCATACGACCCAGCCTGGACTCGAACCAGGACCTCACACGTGCAAACACTTGCGACCTCAAGCATACAAAACGGGCGCAAAACGATTCGCCACCGGGTCTTCTCCTCCTGAGAAGCCTGGGTTAACTGAAAATTTTAAACCGGGGAAAGACAAATAATAATCAAAACCTACCATTCAGGATTTTCGCCTTGCAAACGCACGTAAAGACTTATCTCAAGCCCTTCAAATAAGTCAACTTGCGAAAGAGCCTGCTAGGCGGTAAGGAGAACGCGAAAGAGAGAAAAAAAAGCAAACGGAGCCTGCAACGACCCGGCCTGGAGTCGAACCAGGATCTCCCACTCTACTGTACTATAGCATTGCACTGTGCCACGTGGAGCGAGGAATACCGTCCGCCACCGGGTCTTCCTCGTGCACTGTAAAACCTGAGTTATGGGAGGACTTTTCGAGCGCAGAGGCAACAGAACACCGCTTGAAAGAGAATGCACGCACGCAATTCCCCTGGAGCCGATGAAATAAATCACTTCGGAGACGTTTTGTTTAACGCACCAGGCTCACGACTAGGGTCAAAAGAAAAAGGTGAGCAGACCGTAGATACATGACCCAGCCTAGAGTCGAACCAGGATCTCCCATTTCATGCCTTATAGCACCTCACGGAAGCTGATGCGGACGCGGAACCGTTCGCTACTGGGCCTGTTTTCAGCTCTGCGAATGCTCGCTTTAACCACGATTTTTTCGCGCATTTCACGGAGGTGGGCTCATGACCCATGAACTACAACCACCGCTCCGCGGGGCAGGATTTATTATACTTGCATGGTCCACATCCTCAACAACGAGTCTACCAAAGGCAAACATGTAGGTGGTTATGGTAAATTGGAGGCTTAGCTTAATCGAAATTAGAACGAGAGTAGGCCGTCGTCAAGGTCGGAAAGATATGGCAGACACATAGATAATCAGGTGTAGAAATTACACGTACAGAACAGTGCTTACTGCAAGCTTATTCACGGGAGCAGGCGAAGAATACTTCTCGCACCACCGCGTGACAAGATCGATCAAACACCCGCCAGTTCAAGCTTATATGCGGCCAGCAGGCGAAGTGGTCTCTGCTTGATGTAATCCTCCGGCGCGCGCTGCTGTTGCTTGGTTGCAAGTCAACGGTGAAAAAAATATTGAATCGCAGACGAAAAACTCACGTATTCCGGAATTTGTGCAGAGTTTATGCACTCGCCAGCCTCACACCCCATAGTGATGTGGGCGTCGCCGAAAACATCGCGTATGAGCTCATCCAACGCAGGTTCTGCGAAAGTGCACTTTGTGGCAGAGTTTGAGTAGGATGCGGAGCGGGAGCAGGTCAACGATGCTGGGCCCCTGATTTCCTCATTCAGGAACTCGGTTATGTCTGTTACATAGTAAGTTTACAAAGGGCGAGGAGGAACGGACGACGTGTCAACTCACCAACGCTCCCATTCTCGCCGCAAATAAAGCGCCCGGGCACGCAGCTGCACTTCATTTGTTCGCACGTGTACGTAGTCGTTTTGACGAAACCTTCTTCATAGTCCGACGTTGATGCAGTCTCCGAAACGCACTCCTCCAGCGCACAATAAAACGACTCGACCTCTGCGATCCACAGCTGAAACGCACACGTCCCGTTGGGGGCGTCACAGTTGAAGGTCGCCTGCACCGGTCGGCCTTTAGCCTCTTGTAGAATGAGGCGGTCTGTGCGGCGATGATTATTTATAATTAGATGAGTGTATGATGAGATGGGATGGGCAACGAGAGACGCACTAGTAACGTTGCACATCTGGTGCATACTGAAGACAGCGTCGCCCCCTTTGTAGCATGACATCCCCTCGGAATTGGGATGCACTTTTTCGCCGCCCGGGAGAGGGAAGCCGGCGCATGCCGCGTCCGTCTTGCAGACTAAATAAACAGTGGGCACCGATCAGAGTCCACTCATGATCTTCACAAGGAGAATCGATAGAGACCACGTACCATTGCAGTTGATGCCGCCCCATCCATCCTTACATTCGCACGACGTTCCGTTCTCGCGAAGGTGTCGATTGGGGCCATCTGCGAGGGAGTCGCATTCTAAAATTTCGCCAGTCAGGATGGGATGAATTGCACCGGGTCGTCAAATGGCATATGTACTAACGCGGGATCAAACAGTCGACACCACCCCATCCCGCGGGGCATTCGCACTCGCCCTGCACGTCGCACACGCCGTACTGGGCACAAGTGGATTGCGGGAGATGGCAATTTAATGACTTCGCGGGACTTTGTGCCGTCCAAGGCGTCGCGGGATCTCGAAGCGCCAGGATGGGCGCGGAGAGAATCAAGCTCAGAATCAAGTGGTGTAGAAAGAATCCCAGTAGTGCCATGTGAGTGGGTGCAGGAAGGATGACTCGGAACGCAGCAAGAAAGGTGGAGGCTGGAGGAGGCGGGGCGAGGCAGTCGACGACGAGGAGGAAGACTTGAAGAAGACAATGGTGGGACTCGCCCGTCAGTGCGACTCGGTTAAGCTCGTTGCGTGCACGCGTTGATCCGAGGGGGGGCGTGGGCAGACAGCGACAAACAGACGCGTCGCGTAGGGACAGGAGCACCGCCGGGATGGGCCGGGATGCGTCGGGGTGTGCGGGGAATTTGTAGAGCTTTTTGTTAAGATTCATATAGGAGGTGTCAGGTGTGTACGGGATTTTTAGGTAGGCAGGGATAGGGCCCCACAAACCCATGTCACTGAATATATAATACTTTTGCCACTTTTTTTTTTTTCTATCACTGATTCGGCATAAATTAGCCGAGTAGATCTATCCAGTTTTTATGTGAATCGGGTAAGAACTGGCCGAGATATCAGGAATTCTTTGAAAACATCCCAAAACAGAAAATTTCTGTTTGCGCCTTCGGTACTGCCAATAGCTGTAAAGAACTTGAATAGAATCATATATGCAAGCATTGAACCTGAAATCGTGAAAGATGGTGCTTCATAGAGACATACTGGCAGTGAATATATACTTAGAGTTGGGAAGGTGGCTAGCATCTCTTAATTAAGATTGTAAAGTCTTTTGAACGGAGGACATCGGTCCTTGGACTGAAATCAAGTAGAATAAGGCATTGTGGTCATCCCGGGGAATTGACTGCACTTGGACTGAACACCGGTGAATCTTCGCCTTTATTAACTACTGATAGTTTTTACTTAAATCCATGACTAGACCCCGAGTCCTGTGTTTTTTGGACCAGAAACTGGTCGGGAAACACACTCCAGTCAAAAATTGGGGGCTGTTTCAGGTCCTACAGGGTGCCGTTCACACAGTTTAGGTAGGTTTAAGCGATGTATTGAGCCTGTGAAACCTTTTGCAAGGTCAATTTGAGTTGTCAAAGCCATAGCTATACACTGCCCGGCACTTCACCCCTCTGCCGCGGCAGTAGCGAGCTAGATGCTGAAGGGAACGACAAGGTTGCAGCTGCAGCCGTACTGCGGCACAGTATCGGCGGCCGATACGCTGCCGACGGTAGCTTGTGATGCCGACGGAATACAGCGCTATGAGTAACGGCATTCACTGATTTCCAACGGATCGGTATCGTAACTCCGATATCTATGAACGTCGAGTATGTAGAGGATTCATCTGCCGGATATTGCCTTTACGATAGACCACAACCTTCATGAGTGCTCGATACGTTGAGGGTATGGCTGTTGTGAAGGATATTCTCTTCCTTCATATCCCTCTGGCCCCTTCAATTCTCCATGTTCATCCTTAACGACCTACGCCTGAAGGACATTTCTGTCTTACTTCACAATCACTATATTCCTTCACGGCTTGAAATTTCCCTTCATGTGTTGAGTGAACCTTCAAGATAGCACTCCGCCTGAACGGACCAACCACCTTTCGGACTTGTTTCTTATCCTCAAGGGCCCTTGATTTATGTACCGAACCTTCAAGCTCAGGGACTTGTTCGTGCATGAAGGAAACTATCCATCCTTCAGGCCCGACAAGAATCTCATGGATACTCACGCCGTTAACAGCAGGATCTTGCGATCAGACTGGGTTTCTACATGAACACCCTTGAGAACATGACACTCTCAAGGAAATGGGTTGTGGTTCTTGGGGGGTCACACACGCCTTCTGCTCAGTGAAATCCTTTTAACACCCTACCCGTGACTGCGCTGACCCATTCCATTTCAACTCACGCAATATTGTAACAGCATTTTGCTAGAAACTGTTCAACCATGATGAGACCGATTAGCGTACTCGAGCCACTGTAAGCGGTTATGGTACACGGTAAATCTATAATAGTAATATTCTATGCGCCAGGAGCGGCTGATTGGACCGTATGTTGTCCGGTTTCCATACGGCGCGCGGGCGTGCAAAGTGGGGCGGGCAACAGGCATCGTATCGTGTGCGGAGCGGCGGCTCGGCCGCCCGGGGTGGAACGAGGCTCGTATGCACGGGGAAGCGGAGCGAGGCTCGTACGTGCGGGAAGGTGGAGCAAGGCTCGTACGTTCGAGGCTGGGCCGCTGTGGGGGGCGCTCTTGCGTCGATGGTAGTCCGGGGAAGCAGAAGGGCGACGCATTAATTGACGTAGTCCGCGGGCAGAAGAAGGGCGCAGCGCTGGCGATGAAGAACAGTGGCGTGGGAGACAAGGCCTGCGGCGCGTCGTACCTGGGGTGCACGGGGGCCGGGTGTTGAGAGTGTGGACGTAGCATGGCATCGACGTCTAACAGGCGGGGAGTGGTTTCACAGTCGCTAAACACATCGCGTTCCACGTTGTGCAGCTGCGGAAGGCCGTCGTGGGGGACAGGCAGTCCATGTAGGCGCGCTGCATGTCGTACACGACGCTCCCGCCAGGTAGGAAGAAGCGACGGGTGCTACGGAAGGTGCGCGCACGGAGGATGGCTGTGGACGACGTCAGTACATACACCAGAAGGAAGAAACAGGAGAGTTGGGAGGGCAAGCAGAAAAGAAGGACGAGGCAAGGGAGGAAAAGGGGAAGGAAAGAGAGTGGAGGGGACACGCACCGATATCCCGGATTCTGGCGCTACAGGTCTCCGATATCTGGTGATTTAATAGATCAAATCCGATGAGTCTTGAGATCGATGTACACCGATG